GACCTCCTGAAGATATAACGCACTCGATCCAAAACGTGCAGAAAATTATATGCATAATATTATTATCACTTGAGGGAAGGCAGTGAAACATTTGTGAGAAGTTTACTTCAGACGTGCTAATGTCATTTCGAAGGCGCATGTAAAGTTTATGTTACTAACTATTAATAAAAGTTATAATCGAACCATATTTATGCGGTTCATTATATGATATTTTATACATAATATATCATATTTGATACTTGAAGAAGAAGAAGAAAAAGTACAGTAAACATAATTGACAATCAAGCTATGTTTAATACCTGTATAAATCCCGCGCAACTTTGAGCATTTTAGACGAATCACACTTTGACACTGGTCAACAGAGCAAATCATGGGACCAACTTCGCAGTGTTTAAGATGGTCTTCTTTTCCTGTACAGTTCATCGACGAATTGCTAAAGTCTTGGTGAAAGTCCGAAAATCTGTCGATATGAACCTCTCCATCGGTTTCACCTGAAATTGGGTCGTTTTAACGATTGATCATAAAGAGAATATTAATTTAGCGACGATACTTGCTCTAATAGTACGATATTAGAGCCAGTTGGCCTAAAGCGATCTTTTTTTGCAAACTGGTCTAGCCTTGTAATAATTATCACCACGGACAATGCGAACTATATGCAAATTATAGACATATATTTCATCAGCACGAACGGTGTGCAATTTCTGGTACAATAATCCATTGCCTTTTTCATAAGATGTAATTTTTCCAGGATATGTTGCAGCGTAACTGAAATCAATGTCGTTGATAGCAGAACATCTCCTTGGGTTTACAAACGTGGCTGTCAAAACGATAAAACGTGAGATACATTTTCTTTACCATAAAAAGTTTGACAAAGGTTATATTGAATTTCGAAGCCGTCATTTGAAAAGAACCGAAAATAATGATTAGCCTGTCTTAGAAAGCAGTTATGTCTAGAAAAATGTGCCTCTGTCATAAGCCAGAATAAGGCAATTGAATTTTAGAATGCAACCGTTACTAATTGCTCAAATAACTATGCCATTGCAGCGCATGCCCTACAATTATAGACTGCTAATGGGAATGGCTAAAGTTAAGTGTCGTGTTTGCTTGCGGTTGGCCAGTAACTATGAATACCCCGTCCAACTCCCCCTCATTATTTTTACGGATCATATGCGCTCATAGTTCCTACTTGTCGGAATGAAACGCTGGGAGAAATGAAATCACTTGTAAAGGAATATGATGTTTTGAATCTC